ATCTCCTTAGATAACTATTGGTCTCTTCCCTTCCTTGGAGGAGAAGATTGAGTCATCTCCTTAGATGTGCAATGTGACTGTTTCTCATCTAAAACTTGTGGGGTTATCCATAGCTTTAATTGATCTGCTGGAGGTCTACCACACTGATCACTGGATGCCTTGGCCCAGATTCCTGTGCCTGATTGTCCTATCAGCAGCAAGCATTTTCTTCAGCAAGCTACTTGGTTAATGTCCTTCTTTCCTTTTCTTTGATCTTTTTATTCTATAACCATGCTCTTTAGGATTCTGGACTGAATGCTATTTTTTTCCCTGTGGAAATGTGATTTTCCTGTGCATTTTTTTCCTCTGCAAATGTAATTGCAGAGGAGAATGCATAGCATATGGTAGGTAAGGACAAGGTAGACCAGACTAAGAAACTATATAGGTCAGGACTACTTTTATTGTAACAGCTATAGTAACAGAATCTTGCAAGTCTGAATGTGCTTTCCCCTCCCTCACTTTATCTTCATGTGAACTAGGGACAGGCTTGTCTGAGAGATTTTCTCAAGTTATTTTCTTGGCCCAAGCTCAAGCCCTACTTATCTGACTGTTGCCTTAGTAGCAGCTCTTCCTTCTGCCCTTCAAGGCCATTATCTATGCCCCTACAATTTCTCACTAGCTTAAATTTAAACCGAAAAGCAGTTCTCCACAGCCTACATAAAACAATAGACATACTATAATAAAATAAAACAATTAATAAAACAAAATGTCATACCGTGACTCATTCAATCTGTTGGCACGAATTCATCTTTTCAACACTCTCCAAAATAGCTCATCTTATAGAGTGTAAGGAGGGAAGGGACTGATTTGACTTGTGACTGGAGACTTATTCCAGAATGTAGGCATACCTATTAAGCATCCACCTGTCTTACCTTACAGAAATACAAGCAATTTCTCCTGATATTTTTGAATTGGGCTGGTTAGAACTAGGCAGAGAATACAGTCCCATTAGATTAAGTGGTAAGAAGTACACTTAATCTTACCACTTGATCTTTATTTTTTTCGCTACAGTTTTCATTCTCTCCTTTTCTTTCAAGGGAATGAATGGCAGGGGACCAAGAGTTACAACAAACCAATCAAAATGACCAGGCATGAAAAAGGACAACAGAAGTCTCCAAATCAAATGGAACTAAGAAGGTGTGAGAAAAATCAAATGAACAATGGAAGAAAGAAAAGCTCAACTTTCCAGTATGCCCAAATCCCAGACTTTTTTGTCCAACAAAAACAGAAGACAATAACAAGGAGTATGTGTTTAGGGAAAAGTGTGAAAATACTCAAAGAAAAATTAGAGATAAATAAACACTATGGGACCCACACTAAAGAAGAACAACAGTTGTGGCAGGATGAAAAAATTCACAGTCAGCCTTTCACTCTTTCTTTGTATGAAACAGCCAAGGTAGGAGAGAAACCATACAAATGTATAGAATGTGGAAAAAGCTTCAGGAAGAACCATTCCCTTATTTGCCACAAAAGAATCCATACAGGAGAAAAACCATTTCAATGCAGAGAGTGTGAAAAAACTTTCAGATGGAGTAGTCACCTTTCTTTCCATAAAAGGATTCACACAAGAGAGAAAGCATACAAATGCAGAGACTGTGGAAAGAGCTTCCTTGCATATGGGTCCCTTAAGATTCATAAAAGGATCCACATAGTGGGAAAACCATATAAATGCACAGAGTGTGGGAGGAGGTTTACTCAGAACAGTAACCTCACTTCCCATAAAAGAATCCATACAGGAGAAAAACCATATGAATGTACAGAGTGTGGAAAGAGCTTCAGTGAGAGCAGTTCCCTTATTTCCCATAAAAGGATTCACACAGGAGAGAAACCATATAAATGCCTGGAGTGTGGAAAGAGCTTCAGTAAAAATGGGTCTTTTACTTCCCATATAAGGATCCACACTGGGGAGAAACCATACAAATGCATGGATTGTGGAAAGAGCTTTACTCAGAAAAGTTCCCTTAATTCCCATAGAAGGATCCACACAGGGGAGAAACCATATAAATGCTTGGAATGTGGAAAGAACTTCCGTAAAAATGGGTCATTTCTTTCCCATAAAAGGATTCACACGGGGGAGAAACCATATAAGTGTGTTGACTGTGGTAAGAGCTTTACCCAGAAGGGTTCCCTGACTTCCCATAAAAGGATCCATACAGGGGAGAAACCATATAAATGCATGGAGTGTGGGAAGAGCTTTACTCAGAATGGTGATCTTGCTAACCATAAAAGGATCCATACAGGAGAAAAACCTTATAAATGCTTGGTGTGTGGAAAGAATTTCCGTGACAATGGGTCATTTACTTCCCATAAAAGAATTCATACAGGGGGGAAACCATATAAATGCACTGAATGTGGAAACAGCTTTAGAATGAGCAGTTCCCTTACCTCCCATAAAAGGATCCACACAGGGGAGAAACCATACAAATGCATGGAATGTGGAAAGAGTTTTAGTCAGAATGGTAAACTTACTTCCCATAACAGGATTCACACAGGGGAGAAACCATATAAATGTTTGGAATGTGGAAAGTGCTTCCGTGAAAATGGGTCCCTTACTTCTCATAAAAGGATCCACACAGGGGAAAAACCCTATAAATGTTTTGAGTGTGGAAAGAAGTTTAGTAAGAGTAGTTCCCTAACTTCCCATAAAAGGATACATACAGGGGAGAAACCATATAAATGCACTGAATGTGGGAAGAGTTTTACTCAGAATGGTGGTCTTACTTCCCATAAAAGGATCCACACAGGGGAGAAACCATACAAATGCACAGTGTGTGGAAAGAGCTTCTGTCAAAATCGTTCTCTTATGTCTCATAAAAGAATTCACATTGTAGAACTGATGTAACTGTATGGAATGCAGAGATAGCTTTAGGAGAAGCAGTGACCTAATTTCCCATGGAAGGAGCCAGTAATGTGAGAATCCATGTGAACTGTAGTTTTAGATGCTTCTGTTCATTTAGATGCTTCCTGGTCTGAACTAGAAAAGGAATTTTATCCAAGTTAAATCCTGATTCTGACCTTTGCTAACTCTTGATAGGAATGACTACATACAATTAATGTCCTGAGGAAAAGGATAACAACAGGGATGTGCTATTTTATTGAAGATAAGTGGGTTTTTGAAGGGTTTTTTTTTAAGGTGCCAAAATTATTGTACTTCAATAAGCTAACATTCTTTTTTCTGAAGTTTTGATTTTAAGATGCTTGAAATTTCCATTTGTCTTCAAAAACTAGCTGACTCAACAATTTTAGGCAACTTAAATTCTGGGCCAAGCCAGCTTATAAACATTTTGTTCGGCCTAATATATGGCAATTGCTTAAAGTTTTCATCAAAAGGTACAGAGGGGAATAGGGGAATGGTCATGGTGAATGAATAGAGGGATTGTCCCTTAAATTTCTCAAGGGTGAGTTCCTTTCTTTTCCAAGTAAGAATGAGATCTAAAGAGTAGGGTCTGCTGATGTTGCAAGAAATCCAGCATTAATTGAGGAAAGAGATGTTTGGACAACAATAGAGATCAAAATAAAATTGAGAAAACCACTCCAAGGATTTGGGGAAGAAATTCTTCACTTCTAAATGTGTTGTAGTTCATGAATTCCTCCTGATCAAATAGGATTACAGAATAATGAGGAAGGAAACTACCTGTTGTGTCAAAAAAGTTGTGAAGTAATTTGGACTCACATCCACCTTGTAGAGATAGCCAATACTGAGACAGAAAGCATAGTACATTATTCAGCCAAAGGCTTCCTCTAACTTTATGTCAAAGAACCCAGACTGGAGAGAAAGGCATATAAATGTACATAGTATGGAAAGAGCTTCAGAAAGAAAAGTTCCTTCTCATAAAAGGAGCCACAGTGGCAAGAAACTCTACAAATGCATGTTGAAAAGGCCTTTTTTGGGCAGTGGGGCAAAATTTCACCTTTCTGTGGTATGACAAGGGCCAGGACAAAAATTACATTTGGTTTGATTACATTAAATGAATTAAATATTGTTGGTGTGATTACTTTCCCATCATGTACTTAAAGATTTCCTTCTTCACTCACACAAAAGATACAGGTGAGACTTTTTGGAAGAGTTTTAGGGGCAGACTTAAGAGTTTTGGAGTTGCATGCTAGCTTGAAAGAGTGCCCAGCAGTGAATCCTTATCAAATGAGATAAGCCACCAGTTTTATCTCTGGATCAGGCATATTCAGTTCTGAACAAGGAAGTAGAGGGAATGAGAATCAGATTTGCAGATGCACAAAATTGAGCAAGATGCCAATTCCCTGAAAGGCAGGCAGAATTCAGAGGAATCCTGATAGATAAAGAAATGGCCTCAAAAGTACAAGCTTTCCAAAAGGGTGACAAATTAATCCTATTCTTATATTTTGCTACTTTTTACATTCTGCAATAATTCACACCCCAGCTGAATCTCTTCATGTCCAAATACACATGATCTCTAAGTTGGGGACCTTTCCTGCCACTTCTGTTCTTTTAACTAAAACAGAATTTGTACTTTATTCTCTGAGACACTTTGGTTCTGTCATGACCTGAAGATGTTTAGGCTGCTTTAAATTCTCAGATTTTTACCCTCCTCCTTAGCCATTCATACTTCTGAGAACCATTTCCATTCATTTAATTCAATCCGGGAAGCATATTTCTCCTTCATATGTTAAATTAAAGCATGACCTTTATTTGTGCTCCCAAACTTGACGACTGCTGTCTTTTTTTCTTTTCAAAGAACTCCACTTCTGTACTGAAATAAGCCTTTTCCGGCCTTAATTTCCCCACCACGGTGCAATTCTGTGGTATATTTCCCAGGATATATTATTTCTTTGAGCAGTTTGACTCCTATAGGCTCTGATGTTTGTGCTTTTTCTTCCAGACCTGTTAAAGGCTGTTGCTATACAACTGTTGCAACCAAAAACTGACTCAAGAGCTGAAGGAAGATTTCAACCTGGTTTATTTACAATAGCTACAGGGCTACTCTTGGTCCTCTAAACTTACGGAGAGTTCCAGAAAACAGTACCTGCTTTGAAGTTGTACTTGGTTTATACCACAACAGTTTAAAAAAGTAAAAAACAAAATCACATTGTCACAAGCCTATATAAGCAAAGGTTGACATTGTGGTTTTCCTGTTTTTGTTTTCTGACCTCCTTAGAAAAGCCTACTTGGGGCTTTATTCAAACACAGAGACCCTCTAATGATCATTTGGATTATCAATTATATACTTGTTGAAACGTGTTGCTGGATGAAACCTCTTTCTAAGAAGAAGGAGGAGGGCAAAGATCACTCAGAAGAGCTCTTTTACAAGAAGGAAAATAGCCTTTCTTCTTAACGTTTGAACGGCTCCTTAACGTTTACAGGGTTCCTCAATTGTAGGATGTTATATCCTCATATAGGATTTTCAGACCAGACTGTTCCAGATTTTCCTTGTTTAGATATTAACAATGTTAATTTGAAGTTACGAGTTTCTCATTCTTGACAAGACTCCCTCACTCCTGAATTACATTTTATATGGGAAAAGTGACTTAGTTGTGTTATTCACAGCAGTTTCATGGGACCTTGGAAGTCTCCTAGTCCAACCCCCTGCCCTACCCAAAGACAAATCAGACAATAAAGAACAAGAACATTCATTTAAAAACCTTTTAGGAAAGAAAAAACCCACTTTTTTTCAGTGACTTCCTTAAAGATATATAAACACCAAGTGAGAAAAGAATATTTCCTTATGATAAACTTACAGCATAAAAAAGTTATGTTTTGACGTGTTACACAGAGCTGCCCTACAAGGCATTTAAAAAAAAAAAACCAACAGCAAACAAGCAGAAATAAATCATTCTGAAATTAGAGAAATGTGCTTTGGAATACGACTACCAGATCTAGGCTGCAAAAAATCCAGACAACTGTTTAGAAAGAGTTGGTGTTGATAGAAGCGGTATAAAGTCTCATCAACAGAGTGTGATGGGAAAATAATAAAATAAAGCTGGAAACTCTCCCTCCTCCCCCTTGCCTCTCCTGCAACCTCTTTTCTCCGCTTCCTCCTGCCATTCTTCGCTCGTGCAAAGCAGGATCAGCCCCAAGCCGCTGCACGACCCAAGAGTGACCATGTTCCACTGCCAAAAATAGCCCTCTTAATGCTATCCCACGGAAACAACGGGAGCGCCATCGCCTGTCTGCTTCAGGGTTTGCCCTGGTTCTTAACACACACTAGAAAAACCATCTATCCCCCATTTCGCACCTATCCAAACCTCTCCCCGAACCAGATTTCCCGCCTCTCCGCCTCAAAAGTGCATAAATTCTGTGCTTTTCTCTCGTTCGGGGTCCCTCCTCCTTGCAGTGATCCTTGCAATAAACCCGGCTCTTCTCCCCCGCGTTGCGCTCCCGTCTCTGGCAGAAATTCCTCGAGCGGAGAGCAAGAAATGCCTTTCTTTGCGGCCGGCGTTCATACGCCACCTCCTTTTGCGAAAAACACCCT